CCTTTTGAATCGATAAAAATGTCTGTTGAATGTTCCTCAAGAGCTTTCGAACCTTAAGGGCGATACGACTCGGGTCATCACCATCTGTTTGGTCGAAAATGGACTTGAACGACACCAAGTCTATGCCTAAAAGATAACGCAGTGTCAGGTTTGCCAGCACATACCCGCAGAGAAGGATGTACCAGATCCCGAAATAACAGCGCACCGATAGGTCGGGTCCTCATGCAATTTTTCGAAAATTGTGCGCATCTCGCTGGAAATACAATGTCGGTAAAAAGACTCTTACTTGCCTCCACGACTCTAACGTCATAGCATTTAATTTCGCCGGCCGATTAAGTTGACAATGCAGCACGCGTGGCACTGGGGTGGTAATAGAAAAGAAGTCGAATTCTTTTCCAGCAAAATAAGACGATTGATGAGCCTGGAAGCGGCGAAGTCGGTGTCGAAAATTTCCAGCGATGTTCACGGAGCACATCATGAAACGCATAGTGTTGAGAAGCGCTAAAAGAGAAGCACATGAATCACCAGTATTATTATCCAGTATGTGATTATCGAGGGAAGAGAGACTGGAATAGTCATTCTGGCACATTTGTCACCGACAGTCAGTCAGTTATGGCCTCATCCCAGGTCAGAGACGTCCCAGAATTTAAACAGAGTCAGAGGTACAGAGGGTAATCAAAATTAAATGCTCTAGCTACTAAGACACTGGTCTACGCCCGATCGGCTGTTATCGGGAACACTCGAACTGCACGGGCAGTGGAGCGCACAGGGCTCCCCGTAGTTGACAGCCGCTGTGACGAGCACTCAACAGCCGGAAGAAGTGCACCTAGTGGGTAGAAACTAGACGAAACTTTTTAGACGACCTGCACCGACCAACCCCCAAGGTAAGAATGCTTAAGACTCGCGGTGGAGTCGGCCATTCTAAAGGCAGAAATGGATGAAGTTTAAGGCCCTGACCGGATGGTATATTTGCTTTTGTCATGGTCATTAGGAAATGAACACTACTGAATACCACGGATATTTAGAGTTAGCTAATGGGGCTATATGAAAGTAAATCAAACACTGGTCTACATTCTATCATTCGACTCGATAAAGTTCGCCTTGCTCGCTTTGGTGAATACTTACACCGGAAAACTTACGCAGTCCGCTGAACGCACCCAAGACGAGGAGGGACGCAGCACAAAGACGGGGAAACTTTTGGTACCTTAAGTGGGGGCTCTTATTACAAGCAACGACCGGCTCGTAGGCACGTCAAGCACATGTGTCCACCGTCCGCGGCACAGACGCCACATTAGAAATCACGCGATCAGCGCGTGGATAAGGAACGCGCCCAGTCAACACGCAGACCAACCAATCAGCCCAACAATGCTTGGGTTTCTACAGCGTTAATTGTAGGGCTCACTTGGCACAGCGTTTTAAGTGACCGAGGTCTCGAGCGTAACCAGAGACTGTACTCAATTGTGATGATAAACCAGTCCCATCGTCTGTCTCGGTAAACAGATACGAGATCGCTGTCAGGCATGACCTTAAGGTAGAAACAAACTTTCGTTTAGTCGCATCCGGCTCCCCGGGTGAAATAATATTAAGACATTCAGTCATATGATTATGACTAACACTCCGGCTCACAATTTATCGAAATTACAGAGGCGACAAC